CCTCATCAGACTGGCACTGTCCTTGGCATGATTTCGAATGAGACGTTTCTCTCTTTTCTCCCATATTCTCCTGTTACTCTTTCGCATTCATCGCTTGCATTCACTTTTTATGTTTGTGACCATGCTCTTCAAAAATAAATGATAATATAATAATATTAGGGAGAGTCACGTGTGTACCAATCAATATAGTGTAGCATCAGTCTTCAACTCGTTCAAAAAATCTTTCTCAAAGACAGTTTAGTACACTTCATGTATGCACATGTTCATAAAGTTGACAACTTCATGTCCCAAATAGTTGTATATCGAAACTCAGACTCGGTCGTGCCTCTTGCATGTGTACCGTGGCGTTAGCTGGGATTCAGATCTCCAACGAGGCTAACACCACCCTTTCGATTTGCCTCTTATTAAACGGATAATACAATGCATATACGTAACTTAAAACTGTTCGACAAAGATACTGTTCCATTTGTGGCGGGACAATCCACCAAATACACTTTTCAAACCACAATGGATGAATAGTATCTTCGGACGGTCGGACAGTAACAACCAGAAGATTAAACCTTCGAAACGATCAGGGTGTGTTTAAAAATTTCTCGGAAAGCTCCATTTTAGATTTCTGACATCTTTGCGCTGAGTTATCAATTCCCAGGTCTAGGGGGACCTACGAAAACGCCCAGTGGGAATTTTGACTATCTATCAGATTGCAGAGAGAACTACAGCTTGGTGGCTTTCGTAAGTTAATCATTCGTGAATCCTCATTATGTTGTTTTGTAACTCACCTCATTTCCCCCAAGCAAGCACACTTCTCATTTGTATCAGGGAAACAACAGCATTTCGTGTTCGTCTGCCGCTTTGTGTCTGTCAACGGTCAAACTGAATTGCCCAAGTATATACTCTTCTAAGACTGGGCAACTATATTCAGCTGATGTAAGCTAATTATCCTCAAGTACGACTGTTCAAATTATTTCCACGTTTGCAATGTTCTTCTTTGTTCAGAGTTTCCGTCGCTGTGCGCGCGCTCAGGCGCATTTCATCTGTCTACTCCTGATAGTCCTTAATTCAAGTAGCCCGTGCCGAGGACGAGTGTACCGAGAGACGCAGATTCAGAATAATCGCGACCTATTTTCTCCACTGATTCGTTTGTGAATTTCTTCATTTACATGGAAAAAGTTCCGCTAGCTCATTTAGAAGTACGAAACTTGAAAGTTGCGTTATTTCCGCATTTTCCACTTCCAAGGTCGTTCGGAAGAATTCACCTTATTTGAAGCCGTCTGGTGTTTGCGGACTACTGGTGGAAACAACAGTGGGAACCCACAAAACCCAGAACTGATACTAATATATGATTTTTATTCACTTGGATAGTTTTGCTCTCAAAGAAGTATCAAATATCGAGTCAAATAATGGAAGCTTAGTGAAACGTCACTTGAATGCCCACTGGAATGGGTTACAATCATGAATACCAGTGTAATCACTGCGTATTAGCGTCCTGTTGGTTGATCTTAAAACCAGCTCCACTAGTAAATTCAGGTCACTCCTGTTCTTTTTTGTGCTTTCTTCTGGCTAGTCAGAATACCCATTAAACTTATGGTTGAATCTCACAGTAAATCTTCTGACATTCAACTGTCTGTGCATTTACTTGTCACATATACTTCCGGCGTCACAAAAGGACACAGCGACGTCGCCACACGCGTGAGCCATGCGGGCTTATCGACACGTCTTTATTTTTTACTCAGGAGTCTTAGACGACTGCTGACTGAAGTTCCCGCCCAGGAGATTAACCCTGTTAAAGAAAAACAGCACAACCCGGTGGCTTTTTGATTCCACAAAACGGTGAGAGCATCGGTCATGGTCCTCAAAAATTTCTGGCTTCTTGAAACACTAAATATAACCCTGTTCATCCAACAGGCCGGAAAAACTACTTTGAGGTCAGTGTTTCCGTTCTGAACCGAAAATCCACAAGTACCGATATTCAAAATGCTGATGTAACACTACATATGACGTTGATTAGGACTCATGGATAGATCATCAACATCTTCGCTTTTTTGCGACTTATCAGTTGAGCTTAGCTCCTGAATTTCCAACAGTTTCAGTTTATATCTGGACACGCATTTGGACGCTGCCAATGGGTCACGCGATTCACCTGGCTCTCGAATGTCCCCACTGTCCTGCGGTATTCATGCCCTTAAAAGTGCGCTGGTGGTTGCACGAGATCTATGATCGTGGGCTATCTGGCGCGACCGGATAAGACCGCCTAACCACGTGCAGACATTTGGAACGCTGCCAGTGAACAGTTTTAGAAGCGTTGAGCACCGTCCGATGGGACATACTTCAGTGCTCCGTTTCGCCCGGAAAACCACACTGAAATAGTGCAGTCCGAGTTGGATTCAGAAGGGCGATTTGTGCACAACATCGTGTTTCGTGGAACGTGCATCTACAGAACTACCGTTTTTTCAGCACTCATTGTATCAGAGGCATCTTTGAAGGAATCACCCAGTCGGCTTTGCACTGAGAAACCGTGTTGCTGCCGGTCTTTTGTAACTTTGATGACAGACGCAAAACTTCTGATGCCAAACTCAGAAGACTGCGTTCTAAAAGGACGAACATTCGCGATACATGGATGCCAATTCCAAGGTGCTTTTCTCATGATCAGACTCCTAATTACCTCGATCCCACATACTCGCCCTATGAATACCTTCTGGACACCATTTTACTCATGAAAAGCATATGGCATCAAAGAATGAGTCGAGTTTTGAGTACAACTGGTGAATCCACTGTACCTGCGTTTATACAAAAGGTCATTACTTCCCAGTGTAGATACGTAATTAGACAAGAGATTATGGTTGTGCGATATCGTCAGATGAAGGCGAAAATAGTTGCATTGCCTAAATCCACACTATAAAACATGGTGTTTATTGCTCTTCGATCGGTGCCATTACATCAGACACTTGAGAATTTTCGCATTACATTTTTTGTACACAACGCCACATGTTCTTTAGCCTTTGTATTGCTTTCTACGTATTTTTCACATCGACTGAAACACTGTTCATATTTTTCAATTGGTAACATACTCTATTAAACTAGAAAAATCTGTTAAAAACACTTCATCGTGGGCTTCATGGACGCCGCACTATACTGGGGAAATTTACTGAAGAATTTAGATATACTCTTAGCTGAATTACACGAATAGATATGAGCTGTTATCTAGCAGGGGAGTGCTGTTCAAGGGACTACTGATCTATTTTCGAAAAAGTTTAGTGACAGTCGGTAGATTTATTGCTGGGCAGCGTCTCGCTTTTGATACAAAAGCTTCGTCAGGGACTAGGTTCCGATGTTGGCCGAGATTTAAGGCGGAAGAAGAATCAATCTGCTAAGTCATGCTAAATCTCTGTTGGGTGTCGTCCGAGGGATTTTAGTGTGTTAGAGTTGGGTCGGTGGGGAACCTACATGTGTTTGGGTCCTGCCTAGGGTCTAGTTCTTCTGGTTCGGTTCATTTGATGTTTCCTCTTGAACTTCGTTTTGAACCTTCTGTCAGTCTGTGTGGGTGAGCTACCGATCTATTTGCGCGTACTAGAGAGATAAATGGCAGTCAGCCCGTCCGTAAGATACATGAGCAGTAGAATGAATATCCCAATAACCATGGCTTTATGCAATGCACAATTCGCTTGATCAACTCTTCTTTTGCTTTTGTTTTTGAGAAGTTTTAAGGTGATGAGAACAGCACACGTTAACTAAGACTTTCGGATATCATCTCCTGACAAATTTGGAAACCGCGGAACGCATTCCTCTCCCCTTAAGGTTAGACAATTATCGGTATATGGCCGTATTTCCGAAAACGTCGAGGCTTACACGCCTCAAAATCAGCCGGTTTCGCTGAAAAAATTTAACTTCCTTAGTCTTGGCACTTAAATTAATCTACCTTTGCAGCGACGGTTGTATCTCATCTGTTTTTTGTCCATTGTACATAAGAATATGTGATCTCCTTGGGGAATGTTGACTTGGTTTCTACCAACGCCATTAGTCTCACCGCTTTCGATTTTCCCAACACTGTCCTCTTTGTGTTTTTCTGTTATCTTGTTTTGTTTCGTGTTGAGGTCACGTGAAGTTTTGAAAATATTGTAGCTCTCACCAATGGGTTGGTCCGTGTTCTTCAATCAGGCATTCTCGCGTCTACCTTTCTTGTGGTAATCGAAAAAAAGATTAGGATACAATCATACAATCCAGAAATCAAGAGTTTTCAGATGAAAATCTTTGTGTGTATGCATTCGTCCGCAGGCTTGTCTGCCAAGTTTTTGAAAAAAATCTGATTGGTGGATTGGTGCATTCCATTTTGATTAGCGTTGGCGTGTCTGTAATTCACGCTTATCTTCTTACGCTTCATCCATAATTATGCAACGAAAAATCACGGCTGAGCGACTTCATCTGCCTATAAATAATGCATTTTTCTGGGTTACACACAGTTATTTCTAGAAGAAACTTCATAACATTTTGGTGCGATTGTTGAATGAAAAATGTGTTTCCGGTATGCGGGATAGTGAGTTTCCAGAAGGATGTAGGGAACTTTATTGACCTCATTAAGCTTTGTGTAATCGCAATATGTCCGCTGAGTTTAACTTATGTGTGTAGCAGTGATATTTGACAGAACTTAGGTTAAAGTCGGGCAACCAATGAAAAAATCACTTTGCCATGACCGTTAGACGTGACATTATGATATAAATTCTTGAACGCAAGGTTAGTTGTTTGTGTATGGGACGGGCGAAGAGCCGTACCTCGGTACCGCGTTTGCAACTGAGCTATGTAGCCTAAAATTGATTGGTCTAGCAACCGATAATTCGTCATTGGTCGAATCTTAACGGACAAACATCCGTGTCAAAATACTTTGAGCCACAGGGTAACACCATGACCATAAGGACTGGCAATGTGCCTACCTATCTGAACGGCGACCTCCAAAACAAACTATTCACCATCCCTACAGGCCATGGATAAAAATGCATGAATGAATCGTTCAGCTCTACCATTCTTTCAGTGCTTAGCTGCCAGGGCTCCCTAAGGAGGCATGAGGGCTTTGCTACTGTCCTACAGGCCATAAAAATGCATGAATGAATCGTTCAGCTCTACCATTCTTTCAGTGCTTAGCTGCCAGGGCTCCCTAAGGAGGCATGAGGGAGGGCCTACTGTCCAATCACCCAATGTTACAGGGGAGCAGTTATGATTTCGGAGTAGAATTCAAGCTACGGACTTAGTCTTTCAAGCCCCCCGCATACACATCACGAAGCAACACAAACTGCTAAAATGACCAAGAAATACCAAAAATACACTAATTAGCCAATTGCTTGAGAGGATATCAGTTACTTTTTGGAGGCTATATAACCACAAGCAGGTAGAGAGAATATACACACTCATTTGTGCACTGATGATG